AAATATGTTGTCATTATAATCTAGACTCTTTAAATCATGCGTAGGGCCTTATTTTTAAAGATCTAATTACAATGAACATTTAATATTTTTATTTTCATGAGACAACCATTCTTGTAATATTAAGACTCTTCAAATCATGCGTGGGGCCTTATTTTTGAAGATCTAATTACAATGGTTTTAATAACGAAGGCCATGGGGCAATGTATAAAAATCCCCGCTCCCACTCAATTTTTAATCATTCATAATTAGGGTTTTCATTTTATTCATTTACATGATATAATGCATGCAAAACGTCTTGATTTTAATCCCATTAAATTTAGAAAATATTTGGACTTTAAACGATTCACTAATATTTAATTTGAAGCACACTTTAAAAATAATTTACAAAAATAATTTTTCGTTTCCTAATAAGTGCCCTCAAATTAATTAGTAATCTAATCCAATTAATTTTCATAATTTAATTAATATAAATCAAGCCATTTAAATAAATATCATGGATCCAATGCATGAACAATAATAATTAGCAATTAATTATTTCATGCATCACATACAACAATAAATGACAGATAAAGCAAATTAAATGGCCAATGGATTCAGCTTTTAACATTTAATTACTCTAAGTATTGTGCGAGGATCTTCCATCAGCTTGCAAACACCCGCAGGAGGTTGATACGCGCTAGGAGAAGCAAAACACTGCTTGGAACGCGACTGGAGGGCCCCACACGCGCTTACACGCGCCTGGGGCATGCTGCAGGTGAAGCCACGCGCCCCCACGTGCTGGCACGCGCCTGGGGCGCGTGGGACGCGCCCCCACGCGCTGGCACGCGCGTGGGACGCGTGGGACGCGCCTCCACGCGCCTGCACGCGCGTGGAGGCCATACACACTTGGCTGGCGCGTGCAATGCACGCGCCAGCATATGTCACCTCCTGGCGCGTGTTCCTCACGCGCCAGGCTCACCCCACATGCACTACACTTGATTCTAGCCTCCTCCGACGTCTCTTCTCGCCGCCGGTGATGCTCCGGCCACCGGAAAAACGCCGAAAAATCCAGAAAAATTAATAAAAATTTCCAGAAATTAAATTAGGCCTTAAAAAATTCCAGAAAAATTCCGAAAAATTGCTAAAAAATCCCAGAAAATTTCTGAAGCCTAATTTAACCCTCTTGGACCTTCTTGAAGCTTCATAGCATCCTTTGATGAATATTACATGGCTTTAAAAATATTTACAACTTGAAATACAATGGGAAAAATAAATTACATCATTGAACTTTCAAACGGCTAAATCAAAGCCTTAATTACATTCATGCAAAGATAAAATTACATTCAATATTCCTATAAGCTTCATCCATGGCCCAATCATACATCATCATTCATTCACAATCATTCATACATCATTATGTATCAATATATATCAACATATTAAATCATACATCAACATACATCAATAAAAATATATATAAATATAATTTTAGATCCATGAATGATGATTTTCATAAAATCATGATCTCTAGTAATGAATCAAACCATGCTCTGATACCACTGTTGGGAAACGTGCTAGTTTTAAAAACTTTTCGAGGGATTTAAATTCACAGATCTTGATTCATCACATAGAGACAAGTTTTATGCAAAAAATAAAATAAAATATGATGTATTATTCAACTAAAAGATTGAATACTTACATCAAGGTTTGAGTAAACCTCAGATCTCTCCTCTAAAGTGAATGTTCTCACTTATTGTAGATCCCTTTTGCTAGACATCTTTTCCATGGATCTCCATCTTCTTGGTAATGGTCTTGCCTTTAGGAATCACTCATAAGCCTCCTTGAATGACCTTGGAAAACTAGGCTTGTGGGAGCCTCCATTAGATGAGAACATAAACCCTAATTTTCTAGAGAGAGAAAATTTATTCCTTTTTCCTTTTCATAAAAATCACCCCCTAAAATATACATAGACCATGTATATTTATAGGCAACATAAAAATAAAGAAAAGGAAACAACAAATCCTTCTCCATCTCCAATTCATATGTCTCAAATCTAATATGATTCCAATATCAAGTTGGGCTATGAGTGAGAATCCATTGGGCCTATTATTTTATTGGCTACAACGAATTAATAATTGGCCCGGTCCATGGACCCAATTCAATTAATTCATAAATTAATTTCTACTCCACTAAAAGAAATTAATTGAACTCCAATTAAATAATAAATAACCTCTAAGTCAATATTGCACTTTGACCCCTCTATGCATAATTAGTTATCGGATAAATATAGCCATCAATCCGACTACTTAATTAATATATTTATTTTGGTACCTTTGATTATTTCTGGCTCGATCACAATAAAACATTTGTTTGACAAAAATAATAATTTAAATAAATAAATATATAATAAATCATTTTGTCTAAAAACACACGAAGGCCTTCGAATTTACTTTGTGATCAACCATAATCAATACAAAATAAATACAAGTAGCAATGATGCAAATATTGAAAATATAACCCTCTAACTATTAATTACATAACTACCCAAAGTGTCGGTCTAAGGATCCCGAAGAATCCGCCGAACAAATCAAAGTAATTATTAATTAATAAAAGAGTCTATACTTTTCTCATACTTAAGAGTCAAATGCCATGACGGTGATAGAGAGTAATTGCATACGACGGCTCTCGCAATATATCTCAACCTAACGCGGATCCAGTTCAAGTCTTAATTAATTATGAGTCCATCCATAATTACCGACTATGAACAATTTATAATTACTATTTATATATCATGCATTGATTGTCATCACATACATATATATAAATATTTCTTGTAATTAACTGGACACTATCAATTTCATAGTGAATTGAAACATAATACATTGAATTTACCAATTATATAAATCATAAATATTTCAGATATGTCAGGAACATATGTCAATACAATCCAGATAGGAATTTGCTATGCCAGGGCATATAAATCCCAACAACAAAACCCTTGTGGACATTTATCCAAGCAAGATGTGGGTTACACATCTAACCCTCCTCATGGCCAAACCTCGTCAATTGGGCATCCTTTCACTGGTGTAGTTCTCCAAGCTTCTATAGCAACACAATTGCAAAGCTCTCACTGTCTGCACTAGTATACAACATATGGATGGAAAGAAACAGAAGAATTTTCAAGAAGAAGTCTGTGTCTCAAAATTCACTTCTCCACCAAATGCTAAACTCCATTAGATTGAAGCTCATGACTGCAACTATCAAGGACTCTCCAATTGCCAGGCGTATCATTCAAGAATGGGACCTTCCTTCTTCAGTTATTCGACCACCAGCAAAACTGCCGGACCAGAATTGACGGGCGAAGTGGAGTCCTTCTCCATGATTAGTGCTTACTGCTTTGTTGTGTAATGATCACATTTAGTTTCCTTTAATTGGGTTGCATTGGCTTGGGCCTGTTTTATGTGGGCTGCTTTCAATTGGTTAGCCTGGGCTAACTTCCATGTACTATTTATTCATCTATAATATTTACTTTACCTTTCAAAAAAAAAAAAAAAAACCCTTGTCCCACAAGTCTAACACTTTTGAAAAGATAGAAACAGATAAGGAAATCAATTTCTGCAAGTCCATATTAGTGTGATCCGTCACACTACTTAAAAATCTTCACAACTAAAAATTGGCTGGTCCCAAAAGTGTGACCTATTGCACTTCTCAAAACTTCTGTTGTGAAAAAAGTGCTCAGCGGTCACACTTTTCCAAAATTGCATTCTCAACAAGTGATCAGACTCCACGAGCTCAACAACCATGAGACGTTGCTAACTTGCTATTGAAAAAGGACTCTCTCGATGTAAATGCAAGACGAAATTCACCCTTTATTTATTTACTTTTCCCTTAATCAATGCTATTATAATAGAAAGAGAACTTTATTGGAGGAGGCAAAGCCTTAAAAAAAATAATAATAATAAATAAATAAATTGTTATTTTAGGAAGTAGAGGACATATCCCTAAGTCACACGGCCCGTGGTCAGTGAGACATATTTGCATTAATCATCATTATATAAACAAAGTAAAATGAAAATAATAATAATATTAATAAATGTCAAATGGAAATGGAAATGGAAATGGCAATTAAAATTGAAATTGAAAATTTTGGAGGATAAATTGCAAAATGCTCCCCGACTATATAAAGAATGTGCAATTGCCCCCTAGTGTTAAAAAAAAAACCCCTACATTTTTCAAAATAAGGAAATAAGGACAATTCTTCAACTTGAAGATTGGAATACCTAAAATTCCCTTTAGATAAAATAGCAATAAAAAATAAAAAATTATTTATTTATTTATTAAAAAAAGAAACACTTAAATTTCCTTAAGATCATTTTGATATTTTTATTAAAAAAAAAATTGGTTAAAATTGACAACGATGGAGAAATTAGCACAAATTTTGAAATATAAGAATTTATATGGACTTTATAAAACATGAGGGGGTGCTTCTTGCATATTAAAAAAAATAAATAAATAAATAAAAAATAAAAAATAAAAAATAAAAAATAAAAAAAGAGGAAGAAGATCACTCATTCATCATAAAAAATTGCAACTTCCAATTTTAATTATTTGAAGATCCCGAAGATATATATAGGCATAATTGAGTTCAAATTATTGAGTTATATTAGGATTGGATTCTAAAATAATATGTTTTGTTAATTTTTTCTCTTTTTTATATTAAGATCTTTCTTATATTAAAAAATTTGCATTAAAATATACAAAGTAGCCAAATAAGCATATATAAAATCACAAATCTAAATTCCTAAAATATACTACTAGTATTTTCCTTTAAGACCATATAAATAAAGGACTGGTATTGTTTTTACACCAACCTCGTATATCAATAACTGAAATAAAATATTAGCCTCCTTCATACCCTCTCTCTCTCTCTCTCTATATATATATATATAATCAATTCACATAAATGCTTTCTTCACTCACGAAACCGGAGAGAAAGGAAGTCAAAAAAATCCTCAGGCCTCATGGCGGAAAGCCATGGCATCTGTGGACTTGTAGCAAAGTGGTTCATGAAATTCTTCCAACCACTACCCATCCTCCCCCACGACATCATCTATGATATTCTCTTGCTACAACCCATCAATTCTGTAGGTCGATTCAGATGTGTTTGCAGAGAATGGAACAATTTACTAACACGTTCCGACTTCATCAAGAAGCACGTGTTGAAGGCCAGTGGTAAACATCGACTCATCGTGTCATCCTTAGAGTATCATGTGTCTAGGGACTTGGAAGCACCCTACAATATTGTTATGACTAAACTAGAGTTCCCATGGAAGGAACATGTTCATGAGATCATGGGCTCTTGTAATGGCTTGTTGTGTGTGTTTGTTGATCATAATTACCTCTTTCTATGGAACCCTACCACGAGAGTATATAAGCAACTACCACCACCTCCAAGTTGGTTAGAAAAACCTATATATCATCCATTGTTTTATGGGTTTGGGTATAACATTTCCATTGATGGATGCTATAACTATAAGGTGGTTATAGGTGGACATGGCATCAAAAGTTCCATAGTTGAGGTATATTGCCAAAAAACAAGTTCTTGGAGAAGAATTCAGGACTTCCCTTGCTTGAATACATTACAAGCAAGAGGGACCTTTGTAAATGGATTTTTGCATTGGTTAGGTTTTGTGGGTAGAGGTAACGGTTACAGTAACAATTATTGTCACAACATTGTTTTTCTTGATCTAGCAAAGGAGGAATTCGGGGAGGTTCTCGTACCGAATTTTGAGAATCCGTACGTCTTACTTGGCCTGGGGGTTTTGAATGGAATGCTTTGTGTGATGTGTTCCCACAGTAGCGGATGGGAGATATGTGCCATGAAAGAATATGGTGTGCCAGAATCTTGGATTGCATTGATCACCATACCTTACCGTTTGTGGACAACGGTACAGATGTCGGCCCCCTTTTATTGGATGAATACTGGTGAACTTGTGATGCAAAGAGATGACGAAATGATGGTTGTGTATGATCCTAGAAAAAAGTCATTTAAGAAGCTCATAGACTCCAAATCGAGGATTGAATCAACTACTTATGTGGAGAGTTTAGAATCACCATAAATGAGCAAAAGATGAAGACAACGTCTGGCTAGCTACAACAACAATATTTTCTCACCTGTTTGGTTGGTTACTTGAATCCTATTTTTACCATCTTCTGTATCCAAGGCCATAGAAAATCAATCCACATCATGTTGAAAAAAGAGTATAAACTTTTTTATTTCTTGTCTGTGTGTATTGATAAATTTGATTTGTTTTAGAATTTGTCACCGTTGTGAAGGATTATCGTTGTTTTGAAAAATATGATCTCAAGTCTAGTTGAATTTTAGCTACAATTCTTGTTCTTGTTTATCAATAATTATATTATCAATAAGGATAAGGATATGCTCTGGGTCAATTGGATCAACACTTATCTTCTAAAGGGGAAAGGTATTTGGGAGGTTAAGATTCCTGGGCAATGTTCATGGAATTGGAGAAGGCTACTCAATCTTAGAAGCTCCATCCTTCCACTTGTCAATCTCGAAATTGGGAATGGAAGCTCCTCTAATTTCTGGTTTGACAACTGGTGCCATTTGGGACCACTCCATCAGCTTGTAACACCTCAACAACTTCAGGTTATGACAGCCAAACCAAACTTTGCTCCTTCATTCTGAACTCAACCTGATCCTTTCCTCAAGCAATTACCACCCTTCTTCCCTAATTACTCCCCACAATTAGCCTTCCAGTACCTCAGCCACTAAAACACGATAGGATCATATGGACACCCTCCCCTACTGGAAAATTCTCAATTGCTAGCACAATGAAACACCTTAGGCACTTGCCAACCCTCCAATGGACACACCATGTCTGGACTAAACCTCTGATCCCTAAGCATGCCTTTACACTTTGGGTTGCCATCCAACTTCGACTCCCAACACTCAATAGTCAATAGAAGATGGCACCGCCTATTTAAATACCACAAATTGCATTCTTTGCAACACCGATTTGTAGTCACGTGACCATCTTTTCTTCAAATGTAGATTTGTTAAGCCCATTTGGAACTTTATACAGGCACGTTGTGGGTTCCATATCATGCCTACCTCTTGGCCTGAGTTAATCACTTGGTCATCCCATCATTGGCGAGGGAAATCCAGCTCATGGTCCTATAGCAATTCTATTTCGAGAATGGCACTTGCTGCACTGGTATACAACATTTGGGTTGAGCGCAACAATCGAATTTTCAAGAAAAAATTCTCTTCAGCAAATGTGGTACTTAACCAAACTCTTCAGGCTATTAGATGGAAGCTGTTATCCTATCTCGTCTCAGATTCCCTTGATGTTAACAGATTATATGAAGAATGGGAGATCCATCATCCACATGATCGACCACCTGCAGAGCCACCTGATTGAATACCTGGGGAGTTTGGCTCCATGCTTCACGTCTCTGTGTTTGTTGGATTCCACTGTTCTCGTCCCAGTGTGTTGTGTCTAGAATTATGGTCTTTCTGGGTTTGGTGGGTCTTTCTTCTTTCGCTTGGCCGTACATTATTGGGCCTTTGGGCCGGTTCTCATTTGTAACGTTTTGTTGTTGCCATGGTCTAATCTCTAGGCCCTGTATCCTTATCCATATTTGTATATTTTGCTTCACCTTTAAAAATAATAATAATTATTATTATTATATTATCAACTACTCTTTGTGATGCGCAAAGGCATAATTTATGGAAAAGTTCGGATCCATTGTTAGAGAAGGAGGTATGATTATTAACTTGGTCCAAGATTCCTTCACGCCATATTCTTTCATCATCCGTATACTCCAAATCTTGGATAGCTTTCACAGTGACTACAAACGGTTAGAAATTAAATTTTATTTTATTTTTAAAATGTCGAGTATTTTTTTTATTTGGTATTTTATATTTATGTGAGTTTTTTATTGGAGTTAGTGGGGGCATCAGAGTTACAACTAGTAAATGGTCATGTTAGTGGGTTAGTGGGAGTTTTGCCTACTAAATGATATGTTAGTGGGGTGTTAATTTTCATTTACATTTATGTTTTGAAGTCTAAATAAACCCATGCATTATACGCATTTTTATCAAGTGAAATAAAAAGTGTTTTTCCTAGTGTTTTTCCTCTATTTTATTCTCTTCCAAATAGTAAAGTGTTATGTGTGTAACTAGGCCACTATTTCCAACAAAGTGGTATCAGAGCTAGTTTGTGAGAGAGAGAAGAAATGACAAACAATTCAGTTCCATTTCAAATGTCCCAAAGATAACTATGAAAAATGGTTTATCCGTATGAAGGCAATTTTGGGAGCACAAGATGTATGGGAAGTTGGACCAAAAGGCGGTGATGACCATCCATCAATGTTTGGATGATGGAATGCTACAAAGAGTTGCTAGTGCAGAAAATGCAAAGCAACTATGGGAGATTCTTCAAAATTCCTTCCAAGGAGTTGATAAAGTGAAAAAGATTCGCCTCCAAACGTTACGGGGTGAATTTGAAGCATTGCATATAAAGGAATCTGAATCAATTTCAAATTATTTTTTGAGTGTCCTGGCTATTGTAAATCAATTAAGGAGATATAGCGAAACCACCATGACTGATACAAGGGTCGTTGAAAAGATCCTTCGGTCATTGGATTCTAAATTCAACTACATTGTTGTAGCCATTGAAGAGTCAAAGGATTTGGATTCCATGACTGTTGATCAACTCAAGGTTTCGTTGCAAGCTCATGAAGAAAAGGTGGTGAAGAAACAAGAAGCTTTGGAGCAAGTACTGTTTGAAAAAATATATGCTTCATGTGACATTTAAGATATAACAAACCTTATACTAATATGTCATGAGATAATTAACAATATGTTAAGAAATCATTAATTAAATATGCAACTCTACATTTAATTAAATATGCAAAATAAATTAATAAAATCACAATAATAAATAAAGAACCTGGACCGAGGCTAATATTGGATACTATGTCCTTAAGACAAATTCGCCTCTCTATGGTACTAACGGACTCAGTGGCGTCTATCTCTCAGGATACAACGGTCTACATCCACCAGTAGCAACACTACAAACTCGTGAATATGGCGAACCTTCTCTGTGTAATACTCTCTCTGACTCAAAAATGCATCTATATTATATAAATGCTGAATTGGGTGCAATTCGAATCAAATGGTTCGGACCAATCTTAATATGGCTCAATGAAATTAGATTAGGGTCTAAGTGGTTCGGACCACTTAACCTATGGTCTGAACCTACTTGGGTTGGATTCAAGTCTAGAGAGGGAGATAGAAGAAAATGAAAAAGTGAACCACTTGCAAATGATCCAAAGGGGGGTATTTATAGAAACAGAAATGCCTTTTCGGATTGGGTGTATCTCTTCATTATTGGACACAACCATTGCAATAGGTTGCAATGGTTCACATGGTGTCTGTTCACCACTAGACACATCTATTCCAATAGGTTGCAATGGTTCACATGCTGTCTGTTCACCAATAGACACATCCATTCCAATAGGTTGCAATTTGCCTTTTCGAGTGGGTACAACCATAGGTTATGATGGTTCGGAAAAAGGTGTAACCCTTTGAAAAAACTAAAAAGTGGTTTTTTTAATTTAAAAGGTGTAACCCTTTAGAAAAACTAAAATATGGTTTTTTAATTTAAAAGGTGTAACCTTTTAAAAAAACTAAAAAGTAATTTTTTTAATTCAAAAAAAACCAACTACCCAAAAAACCCACCCATTTGTGAAACCCATTTAAATAAGCCCAGTCCAAAATTAGGCCCAATCCAAAATTCCAAAAAAGAATAATCTGGACTTTACAATTAGGCCTAAGCCCAAGCCCAAATTCTAAACTCAGCTTATTTAAATTTCAATATGTTTCAACATTTTTTTCCATGTGGGACAAACACTTCCCACATTTTGCATACCCATTTAGGCTTATCAAAACACCATACTTTGGAGCTAATTTCTCATTCACCCGGAAAACGGATTTAAGAAAGTAAATATACCACGTTCATCTCCTTGTGGAGAGAAAAACGCTCGTCTAGAGATCCGCAAAAAATTATTAGCAGAATCTCATCCACATCTCATCCAAAGTTTATGTTTTTAATGCCCCTGTTTCCAACAATCCCCCACATGAATGGAAATTTGCATAAAATACAAAAGATGATCATGCAAATACTAGAGAGAGTATAGTCGGAAAGTTACTGCATCAGGATAGGTAGCTTTTGGCTTTGAACCTTCCCTAGTGTATTGCTATTGGATTTACTGGCTAACCAGTGAACGCGATGTCTTAAACTGTTCAGCCGCTTGTGTAAACCAAGACAATAACAAACACACAGTACCTTTCCTCACAAAGTTGGTTCTCATTGTTATGTTCATTTTGGCCCTGAACAACTCCTGGTATTCAATGAGTGCTCCAAAAAACTTAGTCTTTATAGTTCTCATAGAAGCGGCCCCACTTCACACTCATAAAGGTGACTTCTTATTAAGAGTATCCTACTATACCCCACTTGAATTTTCAAGGTATAAGAGTCAAAGCGTAACTTATCATAATCCTCGCTGTAGGTAGCACTGTCTCATCATAGAAATGGGCAGAAGATTTATATCTTCCCAGTACTTCTGGTGAGTCACTCAGAATTTCTGTTGTCCCTTTGAACCTAGATCTTGGGATCTCCAGTCAACTAGGTTGGGTTTCCATTAAGGTGACTCGTTAGCTTTCGGCTTTTAATCCCATTCCCCTCAATGATCTGTACAATTGCTCTCTAGTACAACCCTCAATTTTATATGTGGCCATAAGGTTGTGTTTAGAAATATTACACTCTGTAGAGATCTCTCCAAGTGAGAGCAACTGTATACTTTGTGTCCTAAAATTATTTTCTTTAGTGGCACAGGTGTAGACTTACTTTTAAATGTCTTTTATGTAAAGTCTATTGACTTTCCTATTTAATTTATTCAAAGTTTCTAACTTTGAGTTATATTAAGAACATACAACTACACCTTTAATATAAAAGACATATCCACTCTTGGATTTGAAGTCTTTAATATCTCATATCCATATTGCATCACTGTTACACCTCCAATTTAG